ACCTCAGAACAGGTGGGAATCTGAGGAGGATCTCTTAACTCTTACTAAGCTTAAAATATACCTTGCACCACTGAAGATTTTCCTGTAATGAAAGAAAGCCTGTACATATGGTATTTTGGTCCATTTTCCTTCTCTTTTACAAAAAAGACCTGATTTTAAGATGGTGGGGGTGATTTAGAGTCCTGCGTGGTGGTCACTGTTCTCTACTATCCAGCTTGTACATTGGCTAGGCAATTGTACAGAAGTTTAAACGTTTTTTTCTTCAGAGTGTCTAGATCAAACTTGTCCCACTTTGAAAGAATATGCCCCAAAGGGGAGTTAGGAAGGATTTTTGATCCCTGTGCACCCATCTAGAAAATGAGGAAGAAAGGGGAGTAGGGGTACAAAGGGAATGACTTTGCCCACTGGGGTCTGTTAGAGCTGGGTATCCCCAGGTAACCTGGGCCATCTGGCCAAGGAACAAAGAAGGGAAAGGGGAGAGGCTATACCTGCTGGAGTCTGTTAGAACTGGGCATCCCTAAATAAAGACCTGGGCCATTTGGCCAAAGTATCAGTCTGGGCATCTTTCCAATTTGTAGGAAGAGGGGCTGTGTATAACTCCTCAAACCTAAAAGCCTCTCATTTTTTCTTTTGAGCACCAGGACAATGATATCCGTTGGTATAATGACCTGATCATTTGTGAAAGTACTAGCACTGGTGATTGGGTGGCCAGCCACAATATGGAAGGCACCTCTCAGAGAGAGTTATCCAAGTCAGAACATTTTCATGGAAAAAGATGAGCTGATTTACCTGGACAGAGTAATCTGAGTCATGGCACCAAAATGTCAGGGTGGCAGTCTGCTCTCAGTTCTTGGTGTGCTCTTGGCTGAAGAATGACCAGATACATCTAACTGTCAGGTTCAGCCTCTTGGCAGACTGTTATCATGGTTCTTTTTCTCCTTGCTTGGCAAAAATCACAAGCAAGGCTGGTGCAACAGAGTGACCACAAGCAGGAAGCATTTTCACATGAGGTTTTTATTATAAAACAAAACTACCCTGTCTCCATGAGTGGAGAGAGAGAGACTGACTAACTCACTGACTCTCTCTGGGAATTCTCAAGTTGTTTCCTTTTATTGGCCTAGTCCATGGAAGTGTTAGATGGTACCACTTGATTAACAGGGGGTCTCAAGGTTGCATCTGCCTATGCAAGCTCCTTCTCTGAAAGCCCTACCTGGGGGATGGAGAGGGTGAACTACAATGTAAATTTAAACTGACATAATAATTAGCCGTAGGTTCCTCTAGGTCACTTTCCAAATCCCATTTTGCCTAGGCTAGGTGATTCCCAGATTGGTAAAGCATGCCATCCTTTCCCAGGTGTAGCAGTTGTTCAGGATAGTATTAGGGGATGGGGGTGACACCTAGACAGAATGCCTGCCCTTATCCTTCTTCCCAGGTGAGGCAATTACTTGAGGCAGCACCAAAGCAGAGCACCGTTGTCCCTAGAAGAGCTGGAGATCCTAGCTATCTACCTAATGGACAAAAAGAATAACATATGAAAAACAGGTAGTTATTGAAATGTTAATATTCCAGGCTAGGAGCACTTGTTTCCACAAGGGGGCATTACTGTAACATGGACCGTGTTTGAGTAATTGATGAGCTAGAAGAGACCTTACAACTAACTTTGTGTTATACCAGAAGTTCACTCCTTCCATTTTATTGTCTTCTACCAACACTTCTACTCCCTGCATCCACTTTTCTTGGCTGTATACCTTTTCTATGTCCTTCTTCCTCACAAAAGCCCCTTTGTGCCAGAGGCTTTCTTCTACTTGAACAATAATTGGGCTGCGTGTTATCCTTCATCTTTGAGATTTCTGTGTAGTTTTCAGTGGTTGACCCAGACTTAATGCTAATTCTAAATCTAGGTGCATTCCCAGGTCCCTTTTGGCTTAAAAATATCGGAGGCCAGAAGGCAGCAATGTTAATTTTGTATCCTTGGAAAGCCAAGGCCTGAGCTGGCAGGAAAGACATTCTTAGTTGGCTTTTTGTCCTGGAGAATTAGAGTCACAGTCTTTTCAACATTACTTACTTGATCAGTGAATGCCATGGTGTAGGGTTTTTTCCCCCCATTTACTTCATATTTCTTCCTTGGTCTCAAGAGGATAGATATCTTTGCTCTAAACATCTAAGAAGCTGAAATTCATGCTCACATATTTATATTAATTCCTTTATTTTGTACCATTTAAAACCTGTTTTAGGCTACTTTATATGTAAAGGTAATCTGATTGAATCACTATTCTTTCTAAGCAAATCATATCTCAAATACTTGGCAAAAGCTAGTTATTGATGGCTGTTATTTTTCAAAGCTGATTAGACTAATAAACCATCCTTAAAAATGAATTCCAGAAATGAGTCTTTTCTTAGATTTGAGAACGTATGAGTTTCAGTGTGTTTCTTTTTTTTAACCTCCTTAAATACATGCTTTCATTCATTCTGGGAATATAGTGACATTGCCTTATTGTATAATTATAGTATTCTTTGATTTTTCTAGATTAATTGGGTTAAAATGTGGTAGTCACTAAATAACACTACCATTTCCTTTTTTAAAAATTAACATTCTTCCTTTTGCAATAGTAGTAAGTTTTTTTTCTAGGTCTGTCCCTTCTGTGGTGAACATTATTTATTATTGCAAGATGAAATTGTGGACCAGATAATAACGAAGAGTCCTTTTATGAGTCTTTTTTGTCAGTTGGCTTGAAACTATTTTTTTGGCAAAAAGAATATATTATAGTTCTGGGATGGAGATTTTTATCTAATTATAAATTTGAAGTCACTGTGATTCTTTTTTTTTTTTTTGCCTCTGGCTAAGAAATTGAGATAATATGGTAGGATCACCCTTTTGATTTATTTTATTTCTGAAACTTATTTTAGAACTGGCTAGGTTAATGTATGTATGTATGTATAATTACTATTTAGCCTGTTTCAGTAAAGGATTTTGGTTACTGTTTTTTAAAAATATAGTCTTGACCAAGTAAGATACTGTTGAACTTGTTTAATGGAGTCATTGATACTTGAAGTCACCAGAAAGGGAGAAAAGCATGTTAAACTGGAAAAGAATTCTATGGTTCATCACAAATGATTAGATAGATAGGAATTTTACTATTTTCCTTCAATCTCTAAGATATTTATACTTGGAAAAATGATTTTCCTAAGTATGAAATTAAATATGCAATTTAAATAATACAAAATTTCTTCTTTGAAAATCTTTACTATGAAAACGTTATGGTGCCTCACTATATAAACATTTATTTTGTGTTTACAGCACAGTAGGCAAGCAACTGTTAGATATTACTCTTTATTCCTATATCAGTTGGAACTTAGACTAGGGGAAATCTCACAGTGAACAAAAAGATGAAGAAATGTAACCTAAGAGAAGTCTGGGGATATTAATATTATTCTACTTCAGATAAAAATCATTTTTAGCTACTTTGAATTATACATGTAGCACCTAGCAAGGTGCCATCCCATCCACACGAGAACTATGTGAAGCTATCTGGCTTTATAATTATTTCTGATTGGTTTAATCACAATATTAGAAACATTGATTATGTTTTTATAGTTCTTTGAAATTTAAGCAAGAATTAGCCATTGTATCTTAGGAAACAAACATTCTAGGTATGATTTTTTTCTTCTAATCTTACTGGTTACTGATAGAATTTGCCATTAAAAAAATAAGGATGATTAGTTTTTTACTTATGTTTAAGATACAGTTCATCATACTATATTTGTACATTTTGTTAGATTACCAAACCTGTTTTTACTGCAGTATGTATAAACATTGAAGCATAATCTTAAGGGTTCAATGAATGTGACTATCCATTCAAAAACACATTTCTTTAGTTCCTATATAACTAGGAACTTACCTTCTTTTCAATAGAGTATTAAAAGAAGGGCTTTCAGCTCAAGATCAAATGTATTAGTCACTTAATATTGTACACTGGAAAATTATTTTAAAAAGACAATTGGGATTAGGGACATTAAATGGTAAAATGTAACCAGAAGATGGCAGTGATGATCCTCCTATACTTCCTGCAACGGTAGTCAAAAAGTTTTACAAATGTCATAAGCATGAAATGTGCACGTCCAACTGTTATAAAATGTTAAAAGTTGACAATTTAGGGGAAAGCATTTGTTGTTTATTTTATATACTATGAAAACTGTATGTTTTTCTATAAGAAGGGATTAAGAATATTTTGGGTGTCTGTATCTTTGTCTGTACACTTCAGTTTTTTCTGAATACTGGGGTAAGGAAGTTACCATAAGTCTTGCCTGGTTTAATTTGCATGCATCACTTTATTTTATGCATCATGTCTGGAAGGCATGCTACTTTATAGCCTGTTTGCATTTTTCACCCAAATTGCTGGAAACTAATGAGCCTTTTAAAGGAGCCATTCCTTAAGCTGCAGTCATTTCTCTAAATTACCCTTTTATTGGTAAGGAGGAAATAAAATCATCCAAACAATAATTTTTAAAAGAAAAACTTTGATTTTTCCAAAGATCAAAATTTAGTATTTTAAAATCTTAGAAAACCCGAGATTAAGTGACTTAATGATGCATATTTCAAAGTTTTAATTTAATGCAGTAGTTGTAAATAATACTTATAATCTGGTGATCTTAAAAGTGAGAAGTTAGAAAGAGGGGAAGGAATGCTCTCCTTTGAAAATTAGTGGCCACATTTGGTGATGGATGAGATGAAGATGCATCTTTCCATAATCTTGCCTTTTTTTAAAATATAAAGCTCAAATGCATTTTGCCAGAGAAATTGCATGAATCTTCAGCATGCATTGTTAACTTTGTCTTTTCCCCTTTTTTTCTATTGTTCATTTTCATTCATATATATTTATTTTTTGGTTTGCCATTTTTTTTCTTTTATATTACTTCATGTTAAATTATTTTTGAAACGTCATAAGCTGAGCAACCTCTCCGTGTAGTAACAGCGGATACCTGTCTATTTCACTATTTAGTCCCTCCTCCTATGTCTCCGTCCTCCAAATCTGTGAGCACGCCAAGTGAAGCTGGAAGCCAAGACTCTGGAGATGGCGCTGTGGGATCTAGGTATGGCAATTTTCTTTTAATATTTTAATTATAGAATGCATTCAGTGCCCAAATACTGTCAAAGCTTTAGAGGGACTCTACATAGTTGTATTGAGTTAGTCCTAACTTTTTAAACTGTAGATGGCATAGAAATTCTGTTGTAAATTGGGGGAAAATTTTAACTGTCACACTTGATTAACTTAGTACTAAATAGTTAACCAATTTTATGCTAATTGTTTCATATTAGAAATAAAGGTGTTATTGCATTTAAATTTTTTTTTTTAAGACAGGATCTTGCTCTGTTGCCTGGGCTACAGTGCCTTGGTATCATAGCTAATTGCATCCTTAAACTCCTGGGCTTAAGCCATCCTCCTGCCTCAGCCTCCCAGCTAGGACTATAGGCATGTGCCACCAGCCCAGATAATTTTTCTGTTATTTTATTGCTCAGGCTGGTCTCCAAGTTCTGGGCTCAAGCCATTCTTCCACCTTAGCCTCCCAAAGTGCTAGGATTACAGGCGTGAACCACTGCACCCAGCCTGCATTTAAATTTTTTATGTTTAAGCAAACTTTATATTGGTTATTGTCTGAATGTTTTGATAGTGTAAAACCTCTCTATTGTGCTTAATTCCCTATTTAGTGAATGAAAATCTAAACAATTTGGTTAAGCAGCCCAATTCTGTTCTATTACTCTTCTATTGAGTCGTTCTGCTAATTAAGATAGAAAATAATAATGTCTGAAGTATCAAGGGTAAGGAATAACTGCTAAGGAAATAATGAGAATGTTTACTGCCAAGTTTTCCCCAATTTGCATGTTCCTTGTAAAATTGTATTTCATGTTTGTTTTAAGATCCTACATAAATATTGGAACTTGCTTTTCCAAAATTGAGTAAGATTTCACCTTTTTTCCAAAGATCATATTGGGAAAAGTATTATTACTTATTCTCTTTGTCATATACATACATATACAGACGCACACAATTAATAGCAAGTCTTTATTTAATAGTAGCATGCTTTTTGACTTTTTATGACAGCTGAAATTAGATTAAACATAGCTAGTCAAAATCCACAGCTGATTGAATCCTTATTTGAGACTAGGAGTTAAATGTCCACCTCAGGAAAATCTCTTCACACACCTTTTAATAAGACATAAACTGTTAGAAGTTTTATCTTTTTTGTGCCTGAGTCTCTCTGATTGAAGTTACATACAAGTAATGAGTCTGTAAAAAAGAGGGGGGAAGGCTGGGCGCAGTGTAATCACGCCTGTAATCCTAGCACTCTGGGAGGCCGAGGTGGGTGGATCGTTTTAGCTCAGAAGTTCGAGACCAGTCTGAGGAAAAGCGAGATCCCATCTCTACTAAAAATAGAAATAAATTAATTGGCCAACTAAAAATATATAAAAAATTAGCCAGGCATGGTGGCACATGCCTGTAGTCCCAGCTACTTGAGAGGCTGAGGCAGTAGGATTGCTTGAGCCCAGGAGTTTGAGGTTACTGTGAGCTAGGCTGACGCCACCACACTCTAGCCCGGGCAACAGAGTGAGACTCTGTCTCAAAAGAAAAGAAAAAAAGAGGGTTGGGGGAGAGCAAGAGGGCTGGATGATTCGTAAACTCAGTACTTTAATCAGTGCTTGAATAATCAGGTTATTATTAACAATTAAAAGGCACATAAAGTTTGCCAGTTTGAATTCAAGATGTATTTTCCGAAACTGTTCTGTGTATAGAACCAAAATTGCAAATCTAAACAATACTGTCTTTGGAGGTAAATGACATAATTTTTTCATTTAAAGGAAAATCAAAACCTTCTTTTTAGAAATAATGTTATTACCTTGTAAAATAGTATGAATTATAGATTAAAGACAGTTTAGTCTAAATTTATTTTTAGGGCTAAATTTATTTGTTTTGTACTTCATACTTCTGTACTCTTATACAACTATGTCAGTATTTCTTTAAATACTTGATATTTAAGAACCTTTAAATAACTGGAATTTTCAAGTGAAGGGTTTTTTTTCCTCCTACAACAAACATTACCATAGTAAAAATATTACCCAAGATAAAAAAATTACTGTGTTTATTAAATTTCTTTATTTGATATTATACATTCTTATGTAGATACTATATGGTGTACATTATGAAATCATTATTGATTCTTGAATAGGATTAGAAAGATTATTTTACTACATTGTCAGCAAGTTTGCTTTCAATAGTATCATGTGACATCTACTTGTCTTTTAAAATTAATGTGAACTAAAATGTGTCCTTATGAGTTTCATGGACAACCCAGAGATTATTAGAAACCCTTTGGAATATTGTAAATTTGGTACAGGGAGTAAATACTGGTAAGAAAAATATTTGTGTATAGAACAGATAGTCATCAAATTGTCAACTTTGTTAAATACTACAGAAATTCTTGGCCCTTTCATAGGTTACCACAGAAATTCATGGCCCTTTCATAGAACTTATACTCTAGTGATTACATCATTAATTTAAAAATACATTCACTTTCTTGAAAAGCTCTAAGGATCATGTGCTAACTTATGTTTAGTATAAGGCGTAGATTTTTTTAAATGATAAGTTATAAACCAAGAAAACAGGTAGTTAATATTTTTAGAAGTTCGTTATTAAAGAATGAATACAAAGGTAGTTTCTTCTGAGTTTAACAGGAGAAAAAATATCCTCTTTTTGAATGAGGTGGGTAACCTTATATCTTTTTAATCTTAATACATACATTGTCTCCTTTGAAAGCAGGGACTCACTTTGAAATGTTAATTTTTCAGAGGCCTCATTATACTCATTTTATGTATGCACACACACAAAATTATGGAAAAATGATGAATTTCACTAAAATATCTCCAGATTTCATAGTGGAAAGATTATTAATCTTGTTGATGGTAATATTGGTAATGAAATAATGCATTTCTAAATACATGACATTTAAAAAGAATGCTCAGGTCTGGGAATGAAAACAAAATGAATTCATATTGAACAAACATGATGATAATGAAAGAATAAAGACAGTGAAAAGAAATATCACAGGTAAATTCATGAAGATGTGTGAGATGTATGTACCTGTACACTGAACTTCATTAGTTAGCCAAGATGGTCTAAGATTAGTACACTCAAGGAGTAGGATAAGAGACATTTGATATTGCAAAACATGTTATCTAAACATGTTTGAATTACTCTTTCTAAATGCCAAGAATTTCTATTGAGATTGGTGGTAATTTATGAATAAATGTAAAAGGCTGTGAGAAGCGATATTCCTCTAACTTTGCAGATTAGGAAATTGCATTTCATTAAATTCCTAGTTCACTTTTGTAATCATGTCTGTTATCTCTAAAATTTAGCTAACAGTTATTCAATTAGGTAATCCATACCTCTTGTTCCTTTTTTCCATTTTGAATCAGTTTATTTCTCAAGCTTTTGAATTATATTGGAATTATACTTTGTATGTCTGAAGATACTTTTAATAAGTATAATCATGTATGTTGTGCAGTGCATTTTTCAGTCTAGCTATATTTTGAAATAAAGTCTTACTTGATTTTAAACTAAAATGACATCCTCAACAAGGAACTTTATGTCATTGATAACAGCTGGAGCTTTTATATAATGTAAGGCCTGTCGACAGAAAATTCCTTGGAGACCATCTCATAGAACCCCTTTTGGCTTAACAAAGCCTAAGTTTGTTGCTTTTCATTGCTTAGTACAAAGCAGATCTTCAATGTGGCTGCTTCCTTAGTTGCATATATACAACCTTGTTTAAATTTCATGATCTTTCTTTATATTAATATTTTTAAAATGAAAGATTTCTCTAGTTTAATTCATCATTATTTTATTGATAAATTACATAGGTAGAGAAATCACTTGTATTAAAATATTTTAGCAACTAAAACTAGTTGTGCATTATAACTTATATAAGCAAGAAATATATTTGACAAAAATGGTAGTACTAAATGTATTGTGCTTAACTTTTTTATAGGGACTGTGAGCATTGTCTTATCTTATATTGCTAACCTACAAGAATGCCAATGTGATGAAGTACCTTTTGTTCCAGTGATGACTAGATTTGGCTTAAGTGGAAAAGATCTGGTGTAAAGTTATTTACCCAGTAGGCAATGCTAAAACATCACTGAATATTTATTTAGGATTGATATTCTCTGAAAGTTAGGTATATCCTTTGACTATAACATATTTTTGTAGAGAAAAATCTATTTTTTCCTAGAGACAGAAATCTTTAGTTCTTTTCTAAAGCAGATGACATGTAAGCCCAAGGCAGTGCTTAACCCATAAATTACAGAAGGGTCAGATTTTGGAAACTTTAGCTATTTTGTATCCCAGTGGAATAGTCTTTGGTTTTCTTACCAAAAGGCTTATGTGTTGACTCATTTCCTTTACCAATATGACAATTTCCTGCACACATTTAATGCTTTGGGCAAGATTAGAATATTTTAACTAAGATGTTTTTACTAATGTTCTTTTAATTAGGAATCTTAAAATTTTAACTATTTTATAGTCTAGCTTGTTTTCATCCAAAGTATCATTTGGGTTGTTTTCTGCTTTAGTTTTTCTTATTCACTATTATACAATATTAGTTTCCTATAATCTGAAAATACTGCCTTTTAACTATTCTGGGTTGTATGCTTGCATCTTTAACCATATTATGCTTATTGCATGCACTAGAGCATTGAGAAATACCTGGTGTTCTTTTTGTTTCTTTTGGTACTAACCAGAACATGTGGTTTTTAAATTGTGACAGTACTTTAGCTTTAGCTATTCATAGAATGTATTTGCTTGACTAACTTATGACCTTTTTTGCTAATGCTTCATGGTTGTCCTACAACCATTTAGGACGCTGCATTGGGATACAGATCCATCAGTTCTTCAGCTTCACTCAGATTCCGATTTGGGGTATTGAATAGATTTATTACCTTCCCTCTTTAATAATTAATTTGATTCTTTGATTCTTTGTGAAACTTTCCTAATTTCATTTTGCTTAAGTTTCTAATAGTGTAGTATATCTTTAGGACAAGAGTTATATTTTACTGTGACACCTCATTTATCCTGTATCATTAATGAAAGTATGTATATGATTTTCTAGGTACCCTAAGTCCATTTAAGTGTCCAAATTTCTTTTATTTCTATATTTTTTATATAAGTTTTCTAAGATGTATTAAAAACTTCCCAGACTTTTTCTAATATGTAGTCTATATCTAATTGAACCGTTTCTTGGTTACTGGATATGAATATTAATTTATTTTCCAGTATTAAAATTTATCGATGATTTCTAAGGTTTTGAGAGGAACAGAGATATCGATCTCTATACTATGGCCACAGATTGCCATTTATTATTCATTCATTCATTCACTCAGTTGTTTCTTCTAGACTCCATTGCAAATTATAAATGTTTGCTGTTCCCATTTTGCCTAACTCAGATACCTGTTTGCACCTTCTAAAACATGTGACCGTACCTTTGGAACTGTGTCTAAAGTAAGAGTAAATAAGCCTTGAGTTAGAACATATAAGAAAAATATATGCGCTTCTTATACATTAACTGGAAGACCTCTCTATTGGCTTACTGAGGCTTCCCCCTCGCCCTCTCATTGCTTCTTTATTTTTAGTAAAAGTGGCTTTTGGATAAGTGAGGTATTACATTTCTACCCTCCTCCTCCAAAATCTTGGAATATTTTGTTAATTTGTTTTAATATTGTGGGTTTTTGACTATTATACTCTATATGCATTCAAGTTAGTAACTTGTTCCTAATATTGTTGGCTTGACCATTTTTTTTCCAGATATGTGAGTGATTTACTTTCATATGATTTACATCTTAATAATAAGACTACAGAGTTTTGGCCGGGCGAGGTGGCTCACGCCTGTAATCCTAGCACTTGGGAGGCCGAGGCGGGAGGATCGCTTGAGTTCAGGAGTTTGAGACCAGCCTGAGCAAGAGCGAGACCCCGTCTCTACTAAAAATAGAAAAATTAGCCAGGCGTCGTGGAGGGGGCCTGTTTTCCCAGCTACTTGGGAAGTTGAGGCAAGAGGATAAGAGGATTGCTGGAGCCCAGGAGTTTGAGGTTGCAGTGAGTGACAATGATGCCACTGCACTTTACCCAGGGCGACAGAGCGAGACTCTGTCTCAAAAAGAAAAACAAAAACAAAGTAGAAAATAGAGTTTCTTATTTCAAATTTTATTCTTAGAATACTAGATTACTTCAAATGTACTTTGAAATTTTTAATGGCCCTTATTTGGGACCTTAGAAAAAATTAATTTTTAAAATGTACTAATTTTATTATACTTTGTATAGGATTTGAATTTAGTTACTAAACAGAATTGAAAAGGATGTTTATATAAGAAAAAAATTACTACATTATCAGTGACATATATATATTTCAAATACCCTGCTTGATATTCTGGAAGTTGCAGCAGTATCTTTATTGATAGCTTCATAATTGAGAACCGCTTCAGGAGTTTGAAAGCATTGGTTTAGAATTTAAACATCTAATATAATGACCTATAAAAGATGCCCCCCAGATAGCTAATAAAATATTTTTCTTTTGGTCCATTTTCTTCAGCCACAATTCTCTTCTTCTATATGTCAAAAAAGAATGTATTCCCTCTAACTAAAACAGAAGTGACATTAGTAGGTTTATGGTATTCAAAAGATCCGTGGCTTTAGTCTAGATGTAAAATATCTGTACCTTGGTTTGGTCATATATGGATCAATATTGACCATGCACAAATTATAGATTTAAAAGGTTTAAATATTTCATTTTAAAGTCCAAATTGACAGTGTGATTCTCAATTTCTGCCAAATAAAGCTGAAGTTTCCTAAGGGTGAAGAGAACTAAACCTGGTCTGAGTGAGATCATATATCTGACTTTTAAAGTCCAGAAACATATTCCTGGACATATTCTCTAAAAACATATTCCCTAAAAAACAGTTCTGATGACCAACCTTATTCAGCAGTCCACTTTGAAATTCCTGTCCTCTTGTTCTATTATTACCCACACATTTGTTCTAAGAAACAAAATTATTAATATTTGCTTTTTAAAATGAAAAATAAATAACCCTGAATGATTCAGAAATATCTTTTGGTTTTGCTCCCTTCTGATTCTTTTGTTAAAGTCAATTCATTCTTCATCGAAAATTTCTTGAATAAAACAGAAATTTAGATTATAATGTTGAATGTAAGTGACTGTGTAACTCTGAATTTTTAAATATAACATGGTTTGATGTAATTAAAATGTATCATTTGTATTGACTTAATTTAGACGAGGACCTATTAAACTTGGAATGGCTAAAATTACACAAGTTGATTTTCCTCCTCGAGAAGTCGTCACGTACACAAAGGAAACTCAGACTCCAGTTATGGCTCAACCCAAAGAAGGTGAATATCTATCTTTAATATGATTGTCATTGAACCCTCATGTTAAAGAATTCCTTTTTTTCTTTCCTTTTGTTTTTATTTCTTTTTTTTGCTTTTATTTGGCATATTTTCTTAGGGAAACATTAGATAGCTAATGCTTTATGATTTCTGTATTTATGTCTTTGTTTTAGCATTTTTAAACTTTCTTTTAGACATTAACATTGTAAGCTGTATGTATGGTTTTCAGTTTTGTTGACATAAATTTAAGTCTTTCAGTCTTCGTCATTGATAAATACTGCTTTTAGAAGCAGAAAAGTTTAAGAATGTTCTTAATTTCTATCATTGAGCATAATTCTTCCCCAAAAGAGTGTAAAGAAAGTCAGTAAATGAAGTCATGTAAATTATTTTCTGTAGAGATACTGCATTCTGATGTTATTCATACTAATGAACAAATCTAGACCTAATTCTTAAAATTCCTCTCTTATGATATAGGGGGAATGCTGATTATTTAGTAACCTTTAATCTGTGTGTAATGCAGGGAAGTATGCACAGACATACTGAATGTGGAGTCCCTTTGGTTCTTAAACCAGAAAGAGTTAATAATAGTTAATGATTCAAGCATAAAGTACTCTGGTAGTTCTCGTTTTTCTCAATGAGGCTAATGAATTTATGTCATATATAAAGGAAGTCTATATGAGATCCCTAATACAGGTCCACAGTCTCTTATCTAAAACCTTTGGGGCCATATATATATATATTGGAATTCAGAATTTTTCAGATTTTAGAAAAGTAATAAAACATATATGTTAACACTCTAGCACCATCTTGGGCATTAACATTTTGGCAGCAAAAGATTTGAACATATTAAGTGAGATAAACAATAATTCTAAATAACTTTACCTCCAGTCATGTCAGAGTTTACCACTAAATGAGTTATGGGTTTTAGAGCTGTTGACGATTTTGGAATTGTGGATAAGGTATTTTGGGCCCATAATAAATTGTCTTTTTAATAGTGCATGCATAAGGAATATTTTTTATACTTGGCCAGGAAAATTTATTTCTATTCCCTATAGAAAATTAAGCATAGAAACTTAATCCAATATTTAAATTTATTTTTTAAATTTTAGTTAAATTACCATGTTTCTCCATTAAGGAGAAACAAAAGTATATTCATTGCAGAAAGCCAAGAAAGTACAGGTAATCAGAAGTTGAGTGGAGGGAGGAATCCTTGAAATCCTTAGCTATTACCAAAGGAAATCTTTAAATTTTCATAGTTGTATATACTTCAAAAGAAAACTGGGATTATAAATACTTACAACCCTTTTTAAAACATTTATTTATTTATGTGTTTAATTTTAGAGATGGGGTCTCTTTACATTGCCCAGGCTAGTCTTGAACTCCTGGGCTTAAGCTATCCTCTTGCCTCAGGCTCTAGAGTAGCAAGGATTATGGTCACACACCACCATGCTTGGCTTTTACAGCCTTCTGACACTTTTAATAACTCTCCTTTCTCTGCCCTCTGAGAATGGAAATGAAATAAATAAATTCAATCTTTCCTTTCACTTGTTCCAAAAAGGAGTTGATATTATCATACATATAATTACTCTTTGAAAATTTTGAGGAAATTAGGGTAACATTTTTATCCATATTTTTTTACTTGCCCAGCCTATGTGAATATTTATTTCTATGGATACATTTTTCATTCCTGCTCTTTCATTTATTGGTAAGGTAGCTTTTGTAGGTACAAAATCCTCATCCTAATGGAGTAAAAAGCCACTAATGGTGAACTTGTTTGAGATATAAGCGACTTTTAATAGAAAAGAAAGAAAGAAAGAAAAAGGAAAGATAAAAGGTTGAACTGTCAGTATGGAGAATATTAATATTGCAGGATTCTGTAATTTATAGAAAATACTATCTTATTAAGTAGCATATTAATTTGATGAGTATTATAATATCTCTTTTTATAGCTACATTATTAGATATGTTAACTCAGAAAGTGAGCAAAACAGTCAAAATGAAGGCACATTGACTCATTTTAAAAATAGGACTTTTTTTTCTTCACCTGATAATTTGGAGATTGTATTTTTAGTTATACCATCATACTTATGAAATGCATTTTGGATTGTTTGCTAAGTAAGGCATTCTGAAGCTATTTTGGGTAATGTCTGTTATAACATATCTATAATTCATTTAAGTGAAGACTTTCATTTTTTTTAAAATAATTTTTTCTAATTACTATAGTAGTATATCATAGAGAATTTAGAATACAGAAAGGATATACAGCAGAAATGTCTATTATACCACTGTGCATTAGAGATTGTTAATATTTTGTTTCCGGTGAATATATTCAAGTTTTCTATGGATATGTTTTTTCAAGAATTCCACATGTATATAGTTGAGCTGGTTAACAACAAGGATATGTTTAGAGAAATGCATTATTACATGACTTCTTTGTTGTGCAAACATCATGGAGTGTACTTACACAAACCTAGATGGTATGGCCTACTACATACCAACGCTATATGGTGTAGCCTGTTGCTCCTAGACTACAAACCTGTACAGCATGCTACTGTACTGAATAGTATAGGCAATTGTACCAGTGGTAAATACTTTTGTGTCTTATCTATGTTTAGATAAAGATATCTAAACATAGAAAAGGTACAGTAAAAATACAGTGTTATAATCTCATGGGATCCCCATCATATATGTAATACATCATTGACTAAAATGTTATATGATGCCTAACTATATACACACACGTGCACACACACACAAGTTTTTGTATCCTACTTGAAATTTGCATTTTTGATTGCTCATTTTCAAGATGCCTGTAAATTTTAGCCATGTCATTTACTGCCTTTGAACTAATTTGAATGTATAGCTGGCATAACATAGACTGGCATTTTTTAAAAATTACTTTTCTCATTTTTATCTTACAAGTAATTAAAAAAAATAAAAAGATCATGATTTGTTAAATAAGCTGAAGACCCAAAAGCACAAGATGAACTGTGTTCTTTTCAGCTTTTCGGTTTGAAATTATTCAGGGCAAAGATTTTAGCATCCTCATACTTCAGCTTTTTTGCCAAATTTTCCACGAGCGTAGGGAAGGTTTTCATTTCTTCTTCATTGCTGTAATGCCTGGCTTCAACAGGGCCTGGCATGTAGTAAGTACTCAATAAATATTTGATGAAGGAATTCATTGCTTTAACTTTCTCAGGAAAATAATTTTGCCTGCTTAGGATATTTATTTTCATGCCTTTTATCTGGAAACAACTAGTGGGAAAATAAGTTATTTTCAAGTGTTAATGTTATAATACAATTATAGATAAAATTGGATGGTAAGGTATGGTTACTCTCCGTTCTTGGTTTTAATATGACTATAGCATGTTATAATCATTATTTTCTCTTAGGTCCAAGAAGAAACCATTGTAGATTCTCTTATATAGCCTTCTTGAATTTTCATGAAGTACTGTATAGATACAAACGTGCGATTATTTTGTGTTCTCTGTATCTGTCTGAATGCTATGAACAAAATTGAATATTATTTTAGCTATTCATTCATGACAGTTCTCCAAACTTGTTGTTTAAATTGGTGACTGAAAATTATAACAGCAAAAAGTACCCACTATATACCAGGCACAGTGTGAAGCACTTTATCTCTCTTTAGTCCTCTCACCAAAACTCTGAAAGTTAAGTTTTGGTTCTATTTACACACGAAGAAGCTGAAGGTGAAAGAGGTAGTTTATCAAGGGTCACATAGCTAGTAACTGTGATTTTGAATCAGGTCTGACTGATTATAAATAAGGTGGGCGTTTTCTCTAGTGCTGCCACTAAAGCAGTGACTCACATGCTTTTATGGTAGTAACTATAGTAAGTAGTTCAATTTATATTACAATTGAGTACAGACACAGATGGATGATTGAAAAAAAAGTTTAATGGAACAATATCTTCCCTTACTATATTTCATTTTTAAAAAAGTGTTGACCATGACACACCAAATTTATTGGTTTAGACCTGTAGTTTGGAAAATATTTCATTAAAGGATAGCATGTTTTGGTTAGCTTATTTATTGGTGTATCTGCATCAGCATAATACTGTTAGGGAGCAGCTCAGGGTACTGAATAAGCAGTTTTGATCTTTTATGATGTTGAATAGAAGTTTTATTATCTTAACTGATTGAAAGTGACAAGATGGGTCAACTGAGCCCAGCTTCTAATGAGTATGTCTACATCAACACCTTTAAACTTTTCTGGTGTAGACTAGACTTAGGTGGTAATTTCATAAAGGCTCATGTTTATTCATTTGCAGTCTAGCAAGTTTTCACTGATCCTATTAATACAAGTTTATTGAATATATGTTGTTGGGTTTTTTTTGGTTTTTTTTTGAGACAGAGTCTCACTTTGTTGCCCAGGCTAGAGTGAGTGCCCTGGCGTCAGCCTCGCTCACAGCAAGCTCAAACTCCTGGGCTTAAGCGATCCTTCTGCCTCAGCCTCCCGAGTAGCTGGGACTACAGGCATGCACCACCATGCCTGGCTAATTTTATATATATATGTATTAGTTGGCCAATTAATTTCTTTCTATTTATAGTAGAGATGGGGTCTCGCTCTTGCTCAGGCTGGTTTCGAACTCTGACCTCGAGCAATCCGCCTGCCTCGGCCTCCCAGAGTGATAGGATTACGGGTGTGAGCCACCATGCCCAGCCTACATTGTTAATCTAGTGCCTTATTATATCTTTCTTTAGATTTGTGGTCCTTTTAGTTACAGGTTGAGGCATATAAATGAAGGGGAATGAGAAATGCATCCTGATACTGTGGAGTTATCCTTAGCCTTTGGAACTATTTACAAAAATGAGATAATTTCTTTTCTATATCATTAAATTATTTTTATATCTGGTGCTCTTATATTAAGTTTATTTTCCAAATTTTTTGTAGAGAAAGAAAGAAAGAAAAAGAAGGGAGGGAGAGAGGAGAACCTTGATATTAAGATTTTATTATGAAACACTTTGTGCTTAACTGTTCTTG